CGAAGGTTCATTGAGTGCATCCTTGATGTTTTCCGCAAGCTCTCAAGGTCGCCGTCGGTTGTTTCCATCCAATGAGCCACTTGTCTTCACCATCAGTGTCCCAGTCGTTTTCGTCTACGGCTCAGCCCAGTTATGCCCAACTCCTCAATGGCACCGTTCTATGTCTTCCAAGTAACGATGGGACACTCCGATGACTGTGGCGTGTGCTGCAACTATCCTGGCATGAAGTGGAAGAACTGTAGGACCATCAGGAACTGCTGTGAAAGGGTAGTACGAACAGCCTCACTCGGGTCTTTCGAGGTCGACTGCCACCATTCGCGCGCCTACGCTGACAGCCTTTATAACCAGGCGGTTACTGCTTCCGTCACCGTAACGACACTGGTTTCCCTGGTCTTCGCAGCTCAAAACTCCACAGCACAGTGAGAACTCATCTTACGGTGGTTTTCCACACACAGCTTGAGTCGGGCGTCACGAGCTTTCCTTCAACCGATCCCGCAAGTGGACGTAGTGCGCCATCGCCGCATTCCGACCTTGTGCCCTTTTACATAGGACTCAAATGATAAGCGCGGCTTGCTGAAATGAAATCTAAGTTATTGACACTGTTTTCAGACACGAAGTGGATTTAACATGCTTCAACATTTTGCTTCGGCTGTCTTCTCTCGATGAAAGTTTTTCTTTTTGGCAGCTTGGAAAGAAACGATGGCAGGTTAAGAAACACATTGGCACACTTTTCAGTACAAAACTTGCCTTGATTACCGCGAGCGATTGCGACTTTTTTCCCATCGACAACATGCCTGTATGTTTTCAAGATGTCCTCGGCATGAAAATGCACATAGCAAACTTGCTATTTGTTCGACAGCCTTTTGTAAAGACGACAAATTGTGCGATCCTGCACTGCACAAAAAGCGGATCACATGGTGTCCAGCAAATGTGTGAGAGAACTGTTAGTCCAATAGTCACTTGCGCATCCAGGCACACTTGGCATTGCAGGATGAACAAACATGCACGTTACACAGAAAACAGCAGTATGCAAGATCTCTTCAGTATTAGTACTACAACATGCGGACACAGCGCAACCTCAGACAAACACGCACATGTTTTGGCGCACATTGCTGGACTGGCTGAAGTCTGTTGCGGCAGCAATGCCACTTTCAGCCACCGCATGCGGCAATGCTGTGCAACGCCGCCGAGTTTTCAAACTGGACAGGTTCTATAAATGTTGGTTGACACTACCATACCCACTTCCATATTGCATGTTCTTGTTAGGCCAGCTAATGAAGCTAGCGTTACCTCATGCTGTGTAACAACAGACCTTAAAGGCAACTCGCTAACTTCGTATATAAATGTGGGCTACTTCCAACACCCCGCAAAACTTTTCGTGCCAAAGCAACTGCATGAAAGTAGGTCACGTGAAAGGTGTGTGCACAAATGAGCTAGTACGTCCTTGTTGCGCTTAGACCTGTTATGCAGACAATTTTCTCTTTATTACATTCCTGCACAGCCTCAGTGGGCATTACAGCAAGGGGGTTACAGTCAAAAAGAAACGAAGTAATCTAACTCATAACGTGTGGTAAAACACATCATTGTCCAAAATGCTCACAATGTCCAGTGATAGAGCGTTCCATTCTGTCAAGGCTCTTGAAAAAAAATAAGAGTATGTGCAGAAGTTACCCGTGAAAGGAAATTCAGACTTAAGTGCATGGTCTTTGAATTTGGGACCTCCTTCTGTATACAGTTAAACCTGGATGTAACGAAATTGAGAAATTCTTTGAAGAAAAAATCGCTATAAAGAGGATTTTGTTATATGCAGGTTCAGTACAAAAATACGAAAAATAAATGCACAAATTAAACAAAAAGGGAACTGAAGGCAGATCTAACCCAAAATACTTATTAGGTGCTAAAAAAATGCATTATTGCAATAGCAATTATATGGACACTCTCGATGGGTTTTTGCTCTCGGCGCCATGTTCCATAAAAAGTCCAAATAGATAACATGTGCCTGTGCATCGTAACACTGCTGAAGCAGAGATCAACTGAGCCGCTCCATCTCTATTGCCTAGAGGGCGCATACGATGACATCCCCCCGCTTGTTCTAACTGCCATCGAATGCTTAAACAGAAAGAAAACCACCCATATTGAATGAGCATAAAAAAATACAAGGGAGGGAGGGGGGGTGCATTGAGTAGCAATGGTGAACATTTATTTTAAGGGTGCGATCGCGATGACTGGCGCCTGTTATCTCGCCGAGCATCAGTGTGCTTTCAATGCGAAAAGATTGTGTGAAAAGAGCCCTTCTCCCTGGAGTGTCTGTATTTGCTTACACCAGCGTTAGGAGTTCCACGATATCTGATCCAAAAGAGTTGGCTGCCAGCCTTACTTCGTATAACATTACAATTTGTTGCTGTTGCATTCATTGCATTGCATTCAAAGTGCAGTCGTGTTGTTGGCAGAGCTAATCAGCTAATCGCATAGGCTACATTTCTCGAAGAAGCAACGCAAACGGAAACGTGTGACGAGTTATCACCGTGGTCTTGGAGGGTTTCCATCAGCGCCTAATTTGACCTTCGGTAGTAACGACACGATTATCTGCATAAAAAAAAAAAAAGCAATGCTGAACGTTGTCGGGGGCCACGCCATGCCCACGCAGTGAAACTATGCACGCACGGCGTCGGAAACGAAGAGCGAACAACATTGATAGCGCGAAAAACTACTCGGCAAAGCGACCTCCATATCTAGTGCGAACAAAAATATGTGACACCAATTGAAAACGTGGCACTGCCAACGCAACACTAGTTTTTTCTTTTTTTGACTTAGAGGAGGAGGGCACATCTGGGCATGCGCCTCCGGTGGCAAGAAAGGCGGCAATGCCAGCTCGTGGGGCGTAGGGCCATCTGCCCACCTCGCGTACACCCTCATGCAATAAATAACGAGCACTTGCTCTCGCCTGGGAGTCGCCGGGGCCATGAGCATGCCACCGCCACTTCCCACTTTTTCAGTGGTGGGACAAGCGCAGAAGATGAGTGCTCATGCCAAAATGTCAAAATCTGAGGCGAAACTCTTAGATTGTCCATTACGAAAATTCGCTATATCAAGGTTGTCTCTCACAGTTACTTTGTTACATAGAGGTCGCAAATACATGTGCTCCTATAGAGTAATGGTGGAGAATAGAAAAACTTTGTTATGAAGGTTTGTTATAATCAGGTTTGGCTGTATCATCCTTTTTTAACCTATGTACTAGTTAGAGTAAAATCTCGACAAAACGTAACTTTCACACACCTTTCTTACTCTATGCCAATAACAGAAGTTTAAACGGTGTGAAAAAATTTCAGTGTAAAGTTTTTTCTGTCAAGTTTGTAGTACTTGCTACAAAAATTTTTGTTTGCTTTCTGTCATGCTTAATGTCCTAGTACTATAATCAAGGTGTCTTGCAAATTGCATGGATCAAATTCCCTGACCGATGCCACGAACACTACAGCTGACTCTCGTTAATTCAAACTCTGATAATTGATACTTTCAGTTAATTCAAACAAAATTCAATATTTTGGTTGGCTCTCTATGCTTTAGATGTATTTAAGAGCATCTTAATTTAAACTCATCACTTAGTCCATTCATACTTTTTGCAGTTCCATACCGAAAAATATCTGCTACTTTCACAATACTATTTAAAAATTTGTGCTTATATAATCCTAACAGTCTAAAAATTAAAAATGACAAATAAGCGCCTTAGGCCTCCGAGGAGAAAGGCTTTGCTAGTAAACAAATGGCGCAATGAAACACATGCACGGTAAAGCATGATGCTTTTCAACTGGTATAGAGAGGTTTGTGCTGAAGGCACATATAGCAAACAATCAGTTCGCAATTCACGGATTTCTTTAAAAGGTTTGGTCAGCAGTGGATGGCCAATAAACTTGCAGACCTTACATCTGTGTTTTTTGTTCATTGGGTGTAGTTGGCTTGAAAATTTTTAGACGTGATCCAATCAATGCCTAATCCTAATGTGTGGTGTCACCTGAGCCCAGATTCATATATCCGAGAACTTCTGATAATTCAAACTTCTTGATAATTTGAACAAAAATCAGAGGTCCCTTCGAGTTTAAATTAACGAGAGTCTAGTGTATTTTGAAAAAAAAAAAAAAGTTGGCCACAAATCAGACAAAAAAAAACAGCAGAGAACATACTTATTTCATTTGCCTTTATTCTGCAAATGCACTTGTGTTATGCTTTGAAAGTGTTCATTTCTTTTTTTTTTTTTTCGAAAGATATATAGAAGTCTTACATTCTGCTTCAAGAGAACTCTTTGCTTTTTCTTGGTAGCCTGTTAGTCAATGTTGATGCTTGCTCCTCTATCTCCAGTCTTAGTTTTCTGTCTGTCAATCTTTATTGTTTACAGCTGCTATTTTAAACACTGTGAACATATTGGGACAGTCGAATCCCATTAATTCGAACAAGCTTATTTTGAACTCATGCTGTGGTCCCATCAAAGCTATGTATATTCCAATGAACAAAAACGCCCTGTAATTCGAACGTGCAAGAACTTGTGACGGTTAATTTCAACATACCGCACTCCGAAAATGCTCTCAGCATCACGCCCAATCCCGTGGGAACACCTCCGGCACCTCAGCCTTGGGCGCGAAGGAAAAGAAGAAAAAGAAAGAAAGGGCTGCGCCAGAATGTTTGCTATCTCTCAAATGCTGATCTGGGACATGCCTGTGCCAAGCTTCTCCATTTTCTGTCTCTGCCACGTAGAAATCCTTCTCCTTTAAACGCCGCACGCAAAAAGAGAGAGGAAAAAAAAAAAAAAAGCTGTTGCAGAGTATTGGCTCTCTCGCCGATCTGTGACGCGCCGGTGCCACGCTTCCCTCTTTCCCGTCCTTGAAACATAGAGACCCTTGTCCTTTCAACGCCACGCGCGAAAAAGAAAAAAAAAAGCTGCCACGGTTGCGTTCATTCTCTCTCAAATGTTGATCTGCTTCTCTTCCTGTGGAGACGCTCCTCCTTACTTGTCATGTGCTGGCCACGCTCCGGCTGCGGCTCAGAGGGTAGCAGTGGAGATGCAGTCGCCGCCGGCAGCCGTCGTCTTAAGAGAGTGTTGGCGCTGGACAGTGCCGCGTGCAACTTCTCTTGCCAGGAGAATGCTGAAGCCAAAGTAGAAATGCTTTGCAAACTGCATGCGAAATTGATTGACTCGCTAAAAAGCCGTGTGCAGATGGGCATCACCGATTACTTCAATTAATGATGGATGTACTGTTATTTGTGAATAAATGTAAGTCTTCTGAAACTTCCCCCTCGAGTGTTAGCTCAATGCACACGCACCACTGCATGGTGAGCCCTCCATTTATTTAGCTTTCATTAATTTCAACTTCTTTTACTTCGAAGAAGTTTTCGGGCCCCTTCGAGTTTGAATTATCGAGATACGACTGTAATTTCAGTGGTAATATATAATTTTGTTAGGGCACCAGCCATCAAGACAGAATAGAGCACCCCTTAAGTGCTAAAAGCAATTTTTCCTGATAATTCTCAAAAACACACTCCTAATACTTCCCTTTATAATGCAGGGTTGCCGTGAGCATGAGACAAGTTTCACATCAAACTGCAGCTTCGTGTGATAATCTTTGTCCACAGCCTCTGTTGCTCCCTGTCACAAAGTGTGCAAGTTGCGTCGGCAAAGTGCTTTCTGAGCACACCTTGCCAAAAGTCATAGCAGCGCATTTTTTGGTGGTTGCCACCTCGCCTGTGTTTTCTTTTACTACGATTATCAGCAAAAGCATTACCACAATCACGTGGAACTCTGAATAGTTAAATGGCCAATCTTTGCCCGTATCATAAACCATTTTAGACTTGGAAGCATTTGCGACACATTGTGGCATATGCAAGTTCCGTGACACAGTAAACTTTTAGGGCACAAAATATTATTGCGGTATGCAGTTAGTGCGCACTAGCCCCGCCGTAAGCATAACGACCACTAGGGCTTAAGCGGTCTACATAAGCATTAGTCTCTATGAGACTCAGTCGGGGATTCGTCGCAATTACGTTTTAAGTGACAGTACGTTTAAAGCAGGTATGTACCAACTAGGTTTGACTATACTGGGCCCAGGAAGGACGTTGTAAAGTGCAGCAAGTGCCGAGAACTAATGTGACTAGACTTAACAGTTCTGCTTTACAGTTCAGACACAGCTTGTTAGGTAGTCCGTGAACAGTGAGAATTCCCCCCGACAATGTCGCTCAGCACTCGTCAATGTGCAGTTTGCAAACAAAAGGTGGCCCGGGAAGGAACCAGTTGAGAAGATTTGCACGACTTCTTTAGCCTTTTTTTCTCATTGACAACAACACCAATTGTTCGAACAGTGTTTATGATGAGTGAGAGCACGTTCTTTATATGTGGCCAACTGTGCAGCTGAATTCTACATGCACTGGCTTCTCACCGTGTTACATTGGCTTTGCGATCAAGGCGATGTGCTACGAGCGCTGGGACGTATGCGAGCAGCAGTTGTACCACATCTGGTCAAACTCAAAGTAGGAATAATAATAATAATAATAATAATAATAATAATAATAATAATAATAATAATAATAATAATAATAATAATAATAATAATAATAATAATAATAATAATAATAAATTAATAACAATAATATTAATAATAATAATTTATTTCCACAGATACAGTGTTGATGGAGAAACTGGGAAAAAACGTGACAGGCCACTTGACAAAGTTCCCAACCACCAATTACATCAGGCAGAGGGAGTGGTGGCGACGAGATACATAGAATGGTCACAGTAACTCACTTTCGTTACCAAAATTATTAACGCACAAGTAATGAAGGCATTTTAAATGGAGGCATTACAGGTTGTGTACACTTGATTAAAAAAAAAACATGGATGAGCATGGTTGAAAAAGCTTTGTGCAAATATGGCAAAAGAAAACATTAAGAGCAGACTAGAAAAGATGCACAGAACATGGCAACACATTGCATGATAAACATAAGAAGGTAAAGGCTAATGATGTGCTTTAACAGTTATAATTAATCAAAAATTTGCAGAGCTGTGCTAGTGCAATGTTTGTAATTTCAATGCCTACGAAATGGAGTTTATTTAGTTGTAACAGTAACTGATAAGACACTCTTTGCATATCATAATTTGTTCTTGTGTGAAGAAGTACCTCACACAAGAGCAAACTAGCTTAGCTTTACAATAGGCATAACAAATGATCGACATCTGAGACTGAATTGGGAGCAGTTTTTGGAGCAGCAAAATTTCAATTTCGGAGCTGACAAACCTTGCTTTGGAGCAGTCAGCGGTACTTAATATGTCGTCCTGGGAGCTTGAAAAAGCAAAATTTTAGCAACGTGGGACACAAGTGCATCTTTTAATTTATTAATAATACACATTACACTGAAACAGGCTTTGAAGAAAGTTTTGAACAGATTATCACCAGGTATGAACTGCCCTACCTTTACAAATACTACGCGACCTATCCAGCTCTATTAACAAACATAAAATCACATTTTGAAAATGGTTTTGAAAAGTAGGTTCGCCGGAAACATTAGAAGAGAGAAACGCATCACACTCATAAAGAAAAAAAGAAGCAATTGCACAAGAACCATGTTTACGTAACAGTGGGCCTTCTCTTAAAAAAAGAGACATGCTATCGTCAAGTGTACTGCAAGCTTTTAACCGACAACAAAAGCGTGATGCTGCGCTGTTCCCGGCCACCTCATGAGGGACCAATTTCAAGAGTGGGGCACGTATAAGCCGAGAAACCTCGCTGCACCAACTATCTTGTAAAGCGGGTGCGTATGGCACTAAGTGATAAGCGAATGGTACCAGGTGATAACGCCTCTCGACGTGCGCAACCACGCGTAATTAGTAATGTTAGAGTACGTCAATGCTTTGACGGACTCTGGCACTGCCCACGTTAGCCTGTTTTATTTTCCTTATTATCGATGGCCATCGACTTGCAATTGCCACTTGCACTGCTCCGCGGTCCACGCAAATGAACTGCCCAACGAACAGAGTCCACATTTGTTGAGGAAAAAAAGAAGTATGGCAGTCACACTGCGAAACCATCAACGATCGAAACACCAGTCGAACGTAAAGCTAAGCCAAAAGGTCATGTAGCCCAGAGCCAGCATGCAGCTATGCCTCTTAAAGCGCTCGTGCGAGTTTCGATTAGAAAACAAAGCAGTATTGCAAATCACCGATGCGTCGCGAGTCACTAACGAAGCGCCGAAGTGTCCGTTTAAACTGGTTTAAACACCACGGGTTCTGTGCACCACGGGTTCGCGAATCGTGCAAGTTCCATACCATGCACTATTGACGTGAATTTAGTACTGCTAGCAAGTGGGTGTCTCGCTAACTGCAGACACCGATGTGTGGAACGCGAGTGCATAGGCGACCGCACGCAGCAGTGTCCACATGAAAACCCTAACGACCTGACAAACGTGCTACACACAACAAAGTACCTGAGAGTCAAAATCCCACTATGCATGCTGCTCGGTTAGGGTGGCTAACTCGGTGGTTTTCGCAAAGTGACAGTGGCACCAGAACACACAACCTAGCTGGCAGAAGCAGCACGCTCGATGCATGGCAGCACATTTTTGCGGAGTCACGCATATTTACAACAGCTTACAGGAGATTATGGGGGCACTATGGGAGCCTTCGTGACCACAAAGGTATCAAGTAAAGAACACGCTAGGGCGTGTCTTCATTTCTTGGTATTCCTGGCACTGCTCAGAAAATTATGTAGCCAGCTCAGCCTTTTTTCCCCACTGAAGCAGAGGTTGGCATCAAAATTCTTGCTTTTTCCGGAGCACTTCTGTGTAGTTTTCTCAATTCGGGGTCACGCATATTTACAACAGCTTACAGGAGATTACGGGGGCATTGTGGGAGCCTTCGTGACCACAAAGGTATCAAGTAAAGAACACGCTAGGGCGTGTCTTCATTTCTTGGTATTCCTGGCACTGCTTAGAAAATCATGTAGTCAACTCAGCCTTTTTTCCCCACTGAAGCAGAGGTTGGCATAAAAATTCTTGCTTGTTCCAGAGCACTTCGGTGCAGTTTTCTCAATTTTTATGCTTTTGGAGCAGCATGGGGCAAGAAAATGGAAATGTATCAAAAATGTGCAATATGAGCAGCTGTCTCTCCCTTGTAAACGGCATCTACTTTTTTTTGCAAAAGATCAAAATTCTGAATGACCGCATTTTTATTCGTTAGAAGATGTCTATATTTCGTAGTGCCGAGCTGTTGCCACTTGGCTACCATCATCACTGTCATCGGTGATGATGATGGAATGACTTGGAATGACAGTGACATCATCCCCGTCATTCTAAGCCTGCTCCAGTTCCCTGCAGACGAAGGCCTCTCCCAATGAAGACCAGTTTATCCACGTGACCTCTACTCCATTTCCACAGAGGCTAAATGACAGGCATTGCTAAAACTGCGGTTGTCTACCACCAGTTTAGAAGCTTCGATAAGAATTTACGAGAGAGGCCAGTCTGTTTGCAAGAGAGGGTGCTGCCCTCTTGATTACTCTGAGCACAAAAAAAAAAATCGCATACCTAGATGCTACAGGCTTAAAAATTTTATGCAGTTCTTGCTGTCTTCCTTTTTAGTATGAATAAAAAATGTTTGAGAAACAGGAAATTCACTTATGAGTAGTGCATTCCCTGTGCCCTTTCTCGGTCCTCACGTTTTTTTTTTTTAGTGCTATGGCTCCATTGAATGCAAAAAACCAACTACCGTATTTTCTCCCGTAATGAATGCACTCACATAATATAAATGCACCCCCAATTTCAGTCGCCTAAATTTGAATTTTTTGTTTTCCCCGGGTAATAAACGCACCACCTACATTCATCTGCTGCAGTCCTACTAACCGACACCTGGCGCCTCCTTACCCGTTGGATCTCTTCTATTTTCTATTTTTTATTATTATGCCCACCCCCCTCAGCAACCTCGACTTGCTCCCCCCCCCCCCCACCCGTTGCCGCGTGCCATATTGTTTTTCTTTCTGGTTAGTGTGGCACGTCCTTCGTCTTTTGTATCTGTGCGCCACATCGGGTTTCACCAACGGTGCGAGTGTAGAGACGCAGCTTATAAGCACAGCGAGCCAAGGTCACAAAACTGCTCATGCCAATC